GAGTTCGCTTAGTTAGAGCTATTGAGATCCTTAGAAATTTTCTTACAATATCATTTTTAGACTCCGAAATCTGGAGGACTTACTTCAATCAATGACAGAAACCCACTGTTAAAAAAACTGAAGTCAATCGAAGGTGGCCAAAGCGGTAGGATCATATTTTACAATTTCAAGTACGAATTTCTACACGTTTGTTCACTTACTGGCTCTGATCATTTGCGAAATGCCGGGAGTGAGGGAACTAAAAGTTCCCCATCCCGGATTTACAGTTCTGGCATACATTCCAACTACGGGACGCAGCAGACTTCTCCGTACTTCGACGCATTTTTGTGATTTGGGGTGAAACGGATACAGAGCAAAAAGGCAGGATCAGTCGGTGCGTCACAATGGTCTTTAACAACTCTCCATGCAACGGATGCTCGAAATTCAGCGCTCACCGTTGGTGCAACGTCACATTGAAAATGGGCCTTCGGGGGTTGTCATGGGCATAAGGGGTCTCGTGGGCCTTACCAGGGAGGTCGTTCAGGACGTGGCGCGCTTTTTGAAAACGGTTTTTTGCATGATGTAGGGGCACGTTCATGGACTACCAAACTGACGTTCATTTTTCCTAAATGGCTCTTTGAATACCAAAAAGGAGTGAAAAAGAAGTGTAAGGAAATCGACTGGTTTTGAGCCTCTATAGGCTCCACATCACTTGCAACTTTGACCAGTTGCTGAGTGGGGGTCCTTATAAATTTTCTACCGAGGAGAAAAATAGTCGCAAAAAAGGTCTTATTTGTGGCACGTGATCAAGGGTGAGCGGCTTCTTGGAATGGTTTCTTCAACGATCGGAGCGGTGTTCAGCTACAACGATCGGATGGCCTAGTGGATAGCGTGGAGGATTCTCAGTCAGGGGTGTTGATGGTCCGACTTCCCTAGGCGTGCGAACTTTTGCATTTTTTTAGTTTCGCTATCTCGCTTCCATAAATGTCTGTGCATGAGTATAACATGGATATTTGCCATTCATGGGCAAATTCTTAACGGTAGTACCCCGTGAGTCGGTGTTATTCTACTATTACAATTTTCTCATACCATTAAGCAAGGCTGCTACTGAAAATTGATTTTTATGTGTAAGTAAGTGATATAAGTGATATTATCATTGATATGGTACTTAACTTTAGCTGTGGTGCCATTTCTCCGATTTGGATCCACATCATTCTCCCACTGAATTCATTATGTACACCCATATAAGGGACGTTTAGCGCTACTCTGCCGTCAAATTGCGTCAGCGCCAGAAATAAGTGTCAGAATCGTGATCAGGACCATCGATTACCCCTATAGACGAAGTTTCGCTCAAAAAATTTTTTCGACCTTCTTGGGTTTGTGTATTGGGTTGTGCACACGAGCCTTTTTATTGAAGTCGTACCTTGCCTGTTATTAAAATCTTTCTATTGAAGTCGTACTTTGCCTGTTATTGAAACCTATTTACTGATAAGTAAGCATCAAACTAACAACAAGAATAACACCGTTGAAAAAAAGAAGAATACAGTAATCCCTACAGGTGCATTTGAAAGTGGAGAATGTTGAATGAAACTGTTCTGTCGTTAGGGGAGAACAACAGGTTCAACCAAAATTCTAACGGTGGTTCTTCCACACGTATTCGAGAGGCACGCCGAGCTTATAAGCTGCCGGCAGGATCTTCGGTGCAGCATATTTGCAATCTGCCAGCGGCGCGCTGCGTCATCGTTACGTCATCGCCGCTACAAAGTTGTTAGATCCGGTCATCATTGTCAACCGCCACCACCCGAAAAAGTCGAAAGATTGTTTTCAGTGGAAACGCCTATAGAGGTGAGGAGGTGAGGAGGTTTTGCCTATAGAGGTAATCGATGGTCCTGATCACGATTCTGGCAACACTATTTCTTGCGCTGACGCCAATTTGATGCCAGAGTAGCGCTAAACGTCACTTATCTGATTGTGCATAATGAATTCAATGGGAGAATGATGTGGATCCAAATCGGAGAAACATGGCACCACAGCTAAAGTTAAGTACCATATCAATGATCATATCACTTACAGATAAAAATCAATTTTCAGTAGCAGCCTTGCTTAATGGCATGAGAAAATTGTAATTGTAGAATAACATCGACTCACGAGGTACTACCGTTGAAAATTTGCCCATAAATGGCAAATATCCATGTTATACTCATGCACAGACATTTATAGAAGCGAGAATAGCGAAACTAAAAAAAATGCAAAAGCTCTCACGTTAGGGAGAGTTGAACCATCAACACCCACCCTCGCTGCCTGATTGACACGCTCCTCCACGCTATCCACTAGGCCATTCGATCTGTGGCTAAGCACCGCTCCGATTGCTGAAGAAACCATTCCAAGGAGCCGCTCACCCTTGATCACGTGCCACAAATAAGACCCAATTCGTGATTATTTTTCTCCTCAATTCCCATAGAACCTTTATCAGGGCCCCCTTCTCAGCAACTTGTCAAAGTTGCAAGTGATGTAGAGCCTATAGAGGCTCAAAACTAATCGGTTCCCATACACTTTCTTCTTTCAGGTACCTTTCCCTGGTATTGTAAAGAGCCATTCAAAGAAAAAATGGAACGTCAGTTTGGAGTCCCATTGAAGTGGCCCTACATAGCTGCAAAAGCCGTTTTAAGCGCGCCTGCATTCCTTGACTTTTTCGATGTGCTTAGCCGCCTTCAAGTCTTAGGTAAGCATGGTGTCCCGGTTTTGCAGAATTATGAGTTTTGGTTCTTCGCGGAATGTTCTTCTAAGGACAATGTTACAGCAGATCCGATGGCTGGAAGTGTTTTGAGGCAGAAGCCAGGTGTTTCCATGTTGAGCGGATTTGTAATTTGTGATCAAGCTGTGAAGGCACGCTGCGATAACCTAAGGGGGCAGATTCGTTCCACGTGCGTGGTGTGCAGGTCTGCCAGGGGCAGTGGTATTCGTCAGCGACAGCACGTCAAATGCAAACTGCAGTGAGGCTGGGGAGCTGTAATGGCTTGGTATTATATTATGTCTGTACGGCAGGAGATCTACATTGAAGGATGGCGACATTGCTAGAAAAAGAGCGGGTCTGGAACTGTCAATGTGGGTAGGGATAAAGACGAAACGATCTAGTGGTCCGACTTCAGATTCAAGGGTACTGCACAATATGAGCTTTTAGGGTGCGTGCACTCTTTCACTTTCCAAATCAAGTATGTTATCAAGTTGTAGTAAAAAATTGATTCCAAACGTAGGCTCAGGAAAAAAGCTAGTTGAATTCTCATCGTTGCTGACGATGTTTTTGGCGTTGAGTTTCACGGCTCCGTTCGATCTTAAGTTTGCGTTTTTACTGAAAAGGACTGCTTCTTGGTCGCAGTGGGCCGTGAATGGGTGGCACTGCCCCGTTTTATCAGAACGATGTTATTTGCCATTGCGATCGGAGAACAACCCTGAAACTTGTTCAGCACAGTACAAACCGCATATTTAGAGACGCTAAAGTCTCCAGAAAACACTCATTTCTCACGCAGCTACCTCCGCGACTCAAGGGTTTTCCGACAATTTGAATACTTTAAATTTGACCAGAAAAGGCGAAAAGTGTGGCGGATCGGTGTTCCAAGCAGACTTTGAGCTACTTATAGAGGGGCTTCAGTAAATCAGATCTAATAACTCCGAAGAAGTTGCACTATGCGAGCACCACTACGTACATGGACACAATTATACATGGTGAACAATCCCTAAGAGTCTCACTGGATTAAAACTGTTGGCGCGGTCAAGGTCACAATTTATCGTCAACTAACTGTCTTCAAGGAACAGCGATGTTAAGCAGAAAGACTTAAATCGCGGTTGAAACTGACGACCCACATGCTGGACCCCATTAACTGGACAGAATTCTTCAGATCTAGAGTTCTAGGCGAGGCTCACGTATGCAAGTACGCTGGGCCGCGTATTGGAGTGAACAGAAAAGGTGACTCACATGAACAAATGGGTACTCGAACACTCACGGTGACGTGATGAAACAATTGTTGTGGCGTCGCCTTTCCGCGATTCACGGATTGGTCCTCAATTGGTCATTGCGGGATTAACGCGTGAGCACGGTGCGCTCTTCTCCCGGGAGCGATCTTCGCGATTCGCGAAGAGAGTGGTCAAAGCTTCTAGACTGCTGATAGTGTGCGAGATCCTTCACTTGACGACGAACAAAATTTCGGATAGGTCACTTCGGTTTTTTAATCTAACGTGCACAGACAACTTTGCTCCTTTTTTTGCAGATGCTTGCACCTTTTCCGAAGTCAAACAGTTGTGATCCTTCTGCTATTACCTGGAAAAGAAGCTTACAAAGAAGAGAGAGTTTGACCAAATAGTAATGGTAAACAAAAGAAACATGTGATGGCACTACCACTTTACGACGCCGGAGGAGTAAGCGTTGCAAGAAAATGGTCAATATTTTTTTTGGTTCGAGCTAGTATTAGCTTGTGGAGTCCGAACTCTTATTTGTATACAACACAGTTACCCTCTCGGGCTTTCTCGGAGTTACCACAAATATCGGATGTTTCTTCAAATATTCATAAGTCACATTATCATTTTGCAACGCAGTGAGTATTTGAACGATTATGACTGTGGAGTACATATCGCCTATCAGAGAGGGTGTAGACGTAACAAAAAAAAAACTGACAAACTTCTAGTTCTATTTCCGTACTCTTTCTGTGAGTGCTACATTTCTACTGTTATCGCCCCCTTCGCAAGTCGGAAAAATTCATGTTTGGCGTAATCGTATAGGTTTGTTTTTGAATTGTCTCGGGCGAGGTCTTTGCTGCCTCGGGTGGGAGGGAAAGGATATCCAACCAAGCATATTTCTAAGAAATCCTGATTTTGGTTTTATTTGCGTCAGAAAACGAGTCGTACAATGGAATTGGCACCAGCTTCTATTCTTTCTTTTGTGTGATTACAACTAGCGTTAAGGTGAAACAAGCACATCAGTTTGCAAAAGGAACGGTTCAAATCTGGTCAATCAAGAAAGCGCTGAAATGGCTGCTCCGCTCTTCAGCTATTTTGATAAAAATAACAACTACAGGTAGACATTTTCAATTTAGTTCGCATAATCTAGCGGCTTGATAAGCTTCGATTCCCCACTTAGCGCATCGAACAACAAGCTAGCCACACACATGATTGAAAGGCAGAAAAGCCCTTCACGATGCCCATGCACTCAATTGGTTGTTCACCTTGGACGCCTCACACGCATGCTAAATGCTTCCGAAAGTGTTTCTAGCGCCGACACCATTCTCGTTGGATAGGATCTTGCGTTTGATGCGGGAATCCCCACCTTCATCTCTTTCGAACGGCTATCATTTTTACAAATGCAAAAATCGTTCCTGTCAAAGTGTTGTCGATTTGTAATCTGCAGTAAAGTTCCCTTCCCCAGATGAGTATCATGCACCCGTAATCTGCAGTCTGACTGTCTTCCGACGAAGTGTTCATACTGGCGAACGATCCGACGGCTACGTGTCGGTGGGATAGCGGAGGTCTGGGACCATTTGCCAGCACTTCTGACACATCGACTCTGCGCTGGTAGACACGTTGGCGCGCCATCTACTCTTCCATCTGGGCTCTCGCCGATCGATAATGGGTAACGCGCTCCACCATCTGATTTTTGCTGTCAGCTTCTGAAACATTAAACGCCACTGGCGTGACACACATGGTGTGTCACGCTGCCACATGGGGCGGGTTTCACAATTTTTTTTTCTTACTGATTACTTCACTTTGAAATTTTGTACCTTGCGGTTATTTCACATCCCAACAACGGATTAAGCATTCATTTTGGTGCTGGAGCCATTTGGCGCCACCGCGCGTTGATGGCGGCACGTTCGTTTTCAACCGAATTTCGGGGTATTCACGTAATGCGGTCGCCAATGCGACATTCCTTTTTTGGTGCCGGTGAATTGCACCACGATCGTTCCTAGCGAAATTGATGTAACCTTGCACTTGGGGATATGCAGGGGTGGCGATGACGAATATGACATTGATTCTTGACGCCGACGCCATTTGGCGCCAGCGAAGAGCGAATGTCATTTTTGTGATCAGGATCCTTAATCAACCCTCAGACGGATGTTTTTTTTTCAGTTGAAAGCGGTTATGAAGACCGCAGCACCAAAGTAGCGCCCAGTGGCGCCAAATGGAGTGGAGAAGATCAATCCGTTAGCAAATTGTTCTGCGAGCGATGCGTTTCCGAAGCATGGTGGTTTCATGAAAAAGCTAAAAAAAGCTAATAAAGCTAAAACTAGAAAATTGTTTTCAAATTAGCTGCCGAAGCCTTTCATGGGCCTAACCATATGCAGGAATTCGTACCCCCAAAGGGGTGTATAACAACTCAAAAACTTGCGCAAAATTCAGAACACAGCGAAATTTTAGCTTCTCGTGATCGTGACACACTATGTGTGTGTCACGCGGCCACTGAGCAGACAAACTATGACACGCCACCTGTGTCATGCGGTCCGGAATGTGTTGAATTATATTCATCCGGTTCCACTGAGAGAAGATAAGTATGTTCTATCGAAATTAGTTTCTTTCCGCATGATTTCAAGCAATTACACTGGAACAAAAAAAGGCATTCAAGAACAGTTCAAAAAAAGCAGAGAATAATGAGGAAGAAGCAATTTCCGAAGGCAGAACCATGCTAAAACGACGCAGAAAAATTTTGTGAAAGAAAATATGTACCTTTTTTCCAGTGTAACCGAACGAAGAATAATGAGCTAGCGCGACAGCCATTGTCGATCGGCGAGGGTTCACACGGAAGAGTTAGCAAATAGCGCGCCGATGTGTATAAGCGCAGAGTCGATGCCAGAGAGCGCTGAGGCAGCTATTTCACTGACACTGAGCTATCTGATCGCTTGCCAACGTGGGCATAGGACCCCCCTTCATTCGAAGAGAACCAGACTGTGTTGTAGTTTTGATGTCATCACCTGACAGGGTATTGACAGTAGCTGAGAGCTTTATAAGTTTTATGTCCTTGCAGAGGCCCCTTCACAGCAAAGAGCATGCAACAGTGGTACGAGAACGGCTTCTTCAAGGGCGTCCTTCAAGTGTTCATACATCGCGGTCACGTTGCTAATCGATCCACTCTTGGTAAGTCTTGGAGCTGTGAAATACCGGTTAGGGTAGGGCTCTGATAATGCAGTCATTTAGTCACTCAATAGAGTAAATCATTTATCAGAAACATTGCTGTATGCCCCAGAGCTGTACACTAACCTCCGACGATCATTTTCATGTGCGAGGTGAGTGGTGAACAGCTGCACTAACGTGTCACATTCTCCTCTTATAGGTGCACAGGGACGAGACAGGGCAATGATACCCGTGTACCGTCCCTATAAACCACTGCGCTGACACAGGGCGGCTACCACTTTCCTACACTTCCGTTCTGGTGCACCCTTGATCGGAGAGAGCGGCAATCTACTGCAGCTGTAAAACTTATATATGGCAGGGACCTGGAGGTGAGGGTGCAGGTTATAATGCCGACCAAGAATAGAGGACCACTCTCGAGCACTGTTCATAGTTCGCGCCGCCATTGCAGTTCGCTAAACCTGACTTGAATCAGGTATGTGCCACTTGTGCAGATTGGGTGAATTGCGACTGTGGTATTACGAATGCGCGATTTCGCGTGGAGTGACGCCATTGAAGTTAGTGGAAACCAGTCGTTTGCGATATTAGGTAGTCCTTCCCAGTGAGATAGTGTTTGCATTTTTGCTTTCCACCATCAGTCTTGACACATTCTGGGGCAGTTCTATATCATGTGGCTCCAAGTGTGGCCGCGGGGTCTTCTACAATGCGAGTATGACACTGCAGTCGTGCTCAGTCATTCGAGGGAGCTTTCAGCTACCTCAAATGATTGAGCTCCCAACCCTTTTTATGCGAATGATGGTTTTTTCTGGAAGTTCGCCTACAGAGTTTTGTCACGCGCGCTGTCATGGAGATGACATTCATTTCCGGAGACCGTGCAATTTGGCGCGTTTTGTCGGACTATATTACTCTGTTGGTTGGTAGTAAGCCCACAAGTACTCAAAATTCACCCTTGCACTTCAACGGCATTTGTGGGATGTATCTTTGAGGGCACTTCACACGTTCATTGCTTGTGCAGACAGCAACGTAAGACAGCGTAGTCTCTCATCGGTCGATCATCATTGTCAATTATTGTTTCAAAGTGTGTTGTGATAACCTCTCTGATTTGAACGACCGATTTTCGAGCTTAATAGTTAAAAAGCTGTCAGTTCATTACTGGAATCAGTATCAAGTGGAAACAATAAAGAAAGGGCTGAGAGAAAACCAAAATATTGCAAAGATGCAAAGATTGCTGACTTTTTCAGAGGAACTTTGCGCACAAAAAGGAGACGTCACCCCATTTCTCTTTCTTGTGCCTCCACATCGCACTGAGAGTGGATTTCTCGAACGTCCTCCTGGTTTTACCGTCGAGGTGGGTCTAATCAGTAGTTGAAGCACCCTTGAAAATGCTATGTTTTTTCTCTGAAAACAAATATGAATACGTATTCAAACCGAACAGCGATCCTACGTGTACTACTAAGATGTTTACCTTGCTTCGCGGCTTTATCAGCAGAACATGACATTCGGGATTCATTTTGGTCTCTTTGAAGCCGAAATATGTGAATCGTGGTATTTAATGGAGAGTTAGCCCGATTTTCTTTCTTGAACCTTGACACAACAGTAGCAGCGAATTCCTCGAGTGTCTCTTGGTGCTACCACTAAGATATCATTACACAGGAGGGCTCAAAGCGTCCATGAAATTACTGCTTTTACTCAGAAGGAAAAGTAAACAAGTAAGCAGTACGAAAGACAATCCTGAGTAAGATAATTGCTATGCTTCGCTCTTGATAAGATCATGACATTCGGGATCCAATCCAGCTTTTTGGAAGAAAAACTGTGTAAGTCGTGGCATTAGATAGCGATGTGCACATACTGTTGAAGCGCTGAGCAAGTTTTTCTTCGTGGTAGCAAATACAATAAAGAGTGCAGATAATAAGCCAGTCTCCAGACTGACAAATCCACTCTTGTTGTGCTGAAAGCGACCGCATTATCTTTCGTGACATTGAAGTGTAGGCCTCCGGATCAGTCCAACGTCCCTAGAATAGGATGAAAAGAAGGATAGGAGGAAAGTGAGTGTCGGGTTGCTGCAGGGTTCTGGCTCATTACGAACTTATGCTGGTTCCTACCTCTGTGGTAAATCCGTCGCGGGTTTAGGAAGTGGATCTATAGTGTGATCGCGGATTCAGAAAAGTCAGCGGCGTGCGTATGCTCTAGGAGCTTTGGAGTCGTTTGATATCAAGCTTTCGGAGGCCCTCGGATCAGTTCATTATCAGTGTTATCTTATTAAACCATTGGCGTCATTACCATTCCGAGGCGGCAGGTGGGCCTCCTTGATTGACTCTAATGAAGTTTTTCAGGGCTCTTAAAGGCAAAGCCCGCGACCACAGATTGTGGGTAACGGAACCCACATAGGAACGAAAAAGGGCTAGGTATCTGATTAGCGGAGAAAAGCAGCAGAAAAACAGCCGAAAATGCCCTAAATAGGATTCCATATCGACCCCAACTTGTACATGCATGCAATGAAGAAAACGCATGTTTGTACGAATTTCCACTCGTCGTTATCATAAAGATATCAGCTCTTTTATCGTATCACCTCACTCTCACCATTCGGAATGGAGAGAGATAGCATAGTGGCTACTAGCTAGTAGCTAGCAGCCGGTGGGGGTCGGCATGGGCCTAAGGGGCGCCCATGGGCCTAATTGGTTAGCTTAAAGCGGAATTCTTGCCGATTTTCACTTTCTAAAGGTAGCGCAGCCTCCGCAATCTCCTTCCGGATCGTCTGACACATTTGAAAGGTCATAGCCTTATTTTATCGCGGAAAGTGCCTTTAAGACCGCGCCTCGGTAGTTCACGCCTTTGAACATTTCTTTAGTTGTAGTGTTCAGACGGATGGTATATTTAATGTCTTTCAGGCTTGAAATAGGGCAGCAACGGGCAAGCAAGCGTAATTCAAGTAAAATTGGTTTACTTTGGTTTCATCTGAACAAGCTCGCAAATTTACAACTTTTGGAAACCCAGAACCCAGACTCTGCGAGATGGCAATGTTTTTTTGTTCTGAACCTCCACAGGTTAACCACGCTAAGTGGTACCAGTGACGAGTGAAAGGATAATATCTTCCGAAAGGTTTAAGTGCGTCAGTGACCTGGGGAGAATCCTCATCTTCAGTTCTGCTCTATAGACTAGTCCACCAAGTTGAGATGCGAAAGGTACAAAAGAGTACGCGTAGGTCACAGAGGAGCAGAGAAGAGGAAAGGAAATAAGATAGTTCATGATTCCTGCAGTCTCGATTTGAAGGGTGCCACAAGTGCACTACAGAAGTTAAGTCACTCCTGGACGCCAAGGCAGTCGAGCCTTTTATCTCTCCAATATCACATACTTAGTTCCAGGAGGCTTCGAGAGAACAGGAACGCTGACTTCTACATATCCTCATTTCCGCAATTCATTGTATGCCTTTTCGCAGTCAGAACATCACCTCGACTTTACAGGGAAGTAGAATGCGTACCGCATCTCGCGAACGCCTTGTTCAGTGCCGAGAGCTTCATCCTTCAATATTCGTCCATTTGATCTTTTCTCGGCAAGGGGGGCGATACTAGGTGATCCCAAGAAACGCATGTGCAGAAGGTAATCTCGACTCGCCAATTCCGACAATTACCTGAGACCAAAGGCGCTGCTCTTCTAGCTTTCATTCCTTTGGAAAAATTTAATTTGCTGATTTGGACGCGCCATGCGATTTCACGATGGCCAGCGCAGCGGATGTTCACGACGACACCATGTAATCTAGAAATACTTCTATGGCCTTACTTACCGTGTGCTTCACTGTGTGGGTCCCAACCTGATTGTACAATTATACTGTCACAAGCTTTCTGCCGTTATGCTATACATATCTACCTAACGGCTTTACGTCGAGGACCAAAACGTCATCTTATATGCAAAACTTTGAGAAAAAAATGCCGCTTCTTGATGGTAACTTGCCTCTTCTACTCACAGTACTTGTAATTGTTGCGAAAGACCTTCGAAAGGACGAGTGGAAGTCGTCAATCCTTTGCGATACTGGATTCTGTGATTTCCTGATTCCGAAAATACAAATCATCTAGTGGCTGGTTGATTCCCACATCAATCATTGCTATCACAACTGGTAGAGCAAGCCAACCGGATGAAAGCTCGTGACGCGCTGCGCTCGCCTCCCCCGACAAATTGCAATGTTACAAAATTTGTATGTAGTTTGTAGTATATATTTTTCTATACATTGGGCTTAACTCTATCAAGGCCATGACTTTGATATTATTTTTTCAGGAGAAAAAGTCTCGTTTCTTGGAAAAGGCTGTACAGTATCCAGATCACAAAGGTATGTGCAAATGCTTCCGTTAAATTCAGTTGGCACGACAAATCTCCCAAGACGAGTAGGATTAATACGCCTGGCAGGACGGAATTCCGCGACCCTGAGCAGGCGCTGCATAATGCCTTTTCCAAGGAAGGTGCCCTTATAAGGGCCCTATCAAGCCACAACATTCCGACCCAAACGCCCGCCACGCCCGCCCGCCCACAAATGGACGACCGTTCCTGACGCTCAAAATGATTCATCTGCTAAGCAAATTAAAGGCAGCGCCCGCGTTCAAATTTGATGAGTATGCGGCTCAGGTAGTAATAGCAAGGTAGCAAGAAACCTATTAGTGAAGAAAAATCAAAAGAAAACATGCAAAATGCCCTATAAGGAGTTTCATACCGAATAGCGGTTGTACGTGCTTAACACATTGAACGCCGCGTGAATTGTCGGCAATACACGCGCATACTCCCGTTTCTCGCGTTTGTGTATTGCCCACAATTCACGTTTTGTGGGTCGGTTTTTTCGTGGATAAGAGTGCGACTTGAACCATTCTCACCGAGTATATGTTCAGTGAGCTTTGCTTATGCTTAGTTCTTGATGGCGTGAAATAAGCTGCTCATTGGAGTAATTCATTAATATTACAAAATAACAGTCAGTGGCGCGGTTTGCACTTCTTATGATAGCTCCGCATCGCTACAATGGTAGTAAGACTTCTAGTGATAATTAGTGTCAATTTGCAATACATTTGATAGTGTTTAATTCATTATGATAACAGTATTTATGTGGTCAAAAGTGACGTTTAGATCTTCTACGTTGTCCAGATCCATCTATGCAGCTAAAAAAGTCATCATTCATACTGAACAATGTAAAAATGAGCGCAAAAGTAACCAGAATGTGCGTGTAAAGGGGCATGCGGCACAAAGTTTCGCGCGTTTGTGTATTGCACGCAATTCACGCGCGGAGACGCAGGAAGTAAAAACGGGAGTCGCCGTAAAAACGCCGCGGCGTTCAATGTGTTAAGGCGAAGAGAAGGGTGGTCGCACGAGTTCTCACTTGTTGATTTCAGCTGTTTCCCCTTATCACCTCACTCTCACCACACGACGTGGAGAGAAGCAGCAATGGAACAACCGCACCATCAGGCAACCATTAGAAATGAAGTTGGGCGTCGTGGTCGCCAGGTGGGCGGGGGGGGGGGAGGCGGCCGACTCTTTACTAGCGATAGGCGCTATCCTCTCGCCTTTTGAGATGCAAAACTAGTACATACTGCATCCTTATAGGGAGGGCTATGATATCCAGAAAGGGCGTAGAAGCATCAAGTGAACGTGGGCGCTGCCTTCAAGCGGAGGGATTGGTATAAAGCGGCCGTGATGCTGCATGGATATATGAGTACACATATGCAGCCGTACCTTCGGTAGCGGTTATTGGCAAGATGCGAGAAACTCGTCCGAAATTGATTTTCAACACATCAAGAACGGAGGCTCCCTCTTCATTTTGACCGTTTCACTCCGTTCTTTCGCCATTTCCCCACTATACAGCGCCCTACTAGCATTTTAGGCCGAGCATCAAATCATCGTGCCAACTACCTCTAAGTCTGCTATCAATTTGACGTCACAGAAAATGGTGGCGGTGCTGGTCTCGTTATGATTGGTTTCCATTTACTAGCCTTCTTCTTCCGAACTGTCTGCAAATTGAACTAAGTTTGAATTTCTATGGAATAGCGCCCACGCGAGATACCATCGCAAATGAAACGAGAATGAGAGTGCAAAGAAGTGAAGAAGAAGGCTAGTAAATGGAAACCAATCATAACGAGACCAGCACCG